GACTCGATCCCGGGACTCCAGGATCATGACCTGAGCCGAAGGCAGTCGCTTAACCAACTGAGCCACCCAGGCGCCCGTGGGTATAAGTATTTTTGCCTTGAAATTCTAATCAAATAGTGCCTGTCACACCTTAGAAGCACCATGGCAGTGAAATAGTCACAAGTGCCAGAGGAAATAACAGAAAATAGATCTCTTATTTCCCCCACATACTCGATTTACTAGCTTGAAACAGTCAAAATACATGCACCATATAAAATTCTATTTCTCGGAGCTATATTTTACTTCCTTAGCAACGTTTACTTTTGATGAAGGACTCCATAATGATCCTTTTTAAAGAAAAGGTACCTTTAAATTATAAGGGGCTTCAAGCCCTTACCTGGATATTAAAGCTGTGCAGATAAAAGACAAAGTCATCAATAAACAACACAGAGATCACTTTAAAAACAAGCAGCACGTTAAAAGTAAGAGGAATTTTTTAAAAACCCATCTATTACGGACATTTCAAGGGACACTTTATAAAGCATAGAGACAGCTGGAAGCAGCCGCTCCATTTCAGGAGGGCCGTTTGACACTGGATGAAATGGGGGACCCCTGGCTGGCGAGCAGCGGGAACTTTGCAGCGGGCAGGCGACGGCGCGGGGCGGCCGGGGACCGGGGCGCGTCAATCTGTCACCAGCCCGTCCGCAGAGCCCGGCGCCAGCCCCAACGCCACCCGGCTACCCTTCAGCGGGGAACCGGGAGCAGGACAAAGGTCTGGAATCCGAGCACAGGGTTAGGGAAACAAGACGCGCGGATCCACTAAACGTGTCAGCGGCAAGGACGAGGAGTGAGCGGGGAAAGACGCCAACCCCCAATTCTCAGGCGTTTCCCGCAAGAACCGGCTCATTACCAGGAGATGAGTGAGGGGGGTGTGTGCTGTGTGGCGAATAAATCCCAACTCGCGACTCGATCCTCACTAACTTTGTTCTCTGTCCCTCCACAGAGCGCAATGTGGAGGGAAGGGCTCTGTTGGCTCTCGTTTAAATGGCCCCTTGGAAGAAGGAAAGGGATAAAAAGCTGCGCTCGCGGGCGCACCGGGCCGGGCGGCGAGCGCAGAGCTGCTGTGGTACCTACCATGGTATTCTTGTCCCGGTACGTAGTAGGTGGGGTTGCCTGCAATGTGCAGGGAAATGAGCACCTCGCCCTGCTCCCCATCCCCTTCCAGCTCCCCGTGGTGGGTGCACAGGAAAAAGAAGGGCGAGAAGCGGGGGTAATAGCCCACCGCCGCGCGCGCCCTCAGCGTCGCCCCCAGCAACAGCGCCAGGAAGAAAGTCCGCGGGGCCCAGCAACTGCGCTCCATGCCGCCGCCGCCGCCGCGCGCCCCGAGCGCCGCTCGCTCATTCAGTTTGGGAGGCGCCGGGACGGAGGAGCCACGCGGAGCGAAGGCGAGAAGGCGGCGGACGGGGGCAGAGCGGGCTCCGCAGCGGAGCCCCGCCGGCAAGTTCCGGGGAGACCGCGGCTCGCAAAGTTTCTTTGGGCCGCGGGAGAGCGGGACCTGGACTGCGGGCGCCGAGAGCGCGTCGTCCGCCGCCTCCGTGCGCCGCCGCCGCTGCCGCCTCTACGCGACGCCCCTCGGCCAGGCCTGGGAAAGCGCCCGCCCCCCTCCACACCTTCTTAAAGCCCC